TAACCTGTAATTGTCCCGTTAAGTTTTTTCCACACATACATATTTTTTCTTTACAGAACAATAAGGTCATTTCAGAGACATTGGTTCTGCTGCATGTTTCCCTAATCTTACACTGTAGTGTTTGGGGACTCTTTCCATTTCAACAATATATTATCATTTTTAATGACTGTCTAGTACTCTGTGGTGCAACTAGCATAGTTCACAGGACTACTCTCCCAGGTGATTGACACTGGCCATTAGCAACCTGGATCCCTAGAACAGTGGAAGGGTCAGAGGGACAGTTTCTTAGAAGTACTCGCACGCCAAGCTTTGGTGAGAGCTGTGCATTCATGTGTAATGCTCTTCATCTCGAGCTCCTTTCACATTAATAATCCACTAATGAGGGTAATCAATTAGTGTTGGCATAGGCTCTATGAAAATACATAGCATTATGTGGGCTTCGGCCTTGCATTAATCAGAATTAGGAGCATCATTACGGTGCTGTCAAACTCCCTCCTCACTGTCCTAATGTTCCATTAGATAAGTCTGCCAACTTAGAAAAGTACCCCCCTTTTCCTCTAAAAGTAGTCCTCAATTACTAATTATTTTTCTTTCTTTGCTTTTTTAATTCTCTCTCTCTCTCTCTCTCTCTCTCTCTCTCTCTCTCTCTCTCTTTCTGTCTAGTTTTGTTTTGAGATGGAGTCTTGCCCTGTAGCCCATGTAAGCTTCACACTCTCAGCAGTCCACCTGCCTTACACTCCCCAGTGCTGGGGTTTCAGGTGTGCCCTAGGTGTCCAGCTGAGGCCAGCTGCATGCCATCACAACACACACTCCCTTCAGTCCCCTTCTGAACCACCTTGCAGAGCACACTGATGCTGAGTCCCGACCACCTTCCCAGATGCCCGCTGGAACACACATCCTGAAGAGATCCATCCTTGGTTTTGCTTTTGAGATGACCAAGAGGTGGCCCAAAAAACATCATTTCTTCCCCAGTAACTACAGACCATTTCAGTAGCCTTTATAACAAGCGCTGTGTGAGTTGTGCTCTTGTAAAACACAGGGAGAGAAGGGAACCGCAGAGGCTCCAACTTAATGGATGTGTAAATGAGTATTAATAGTTCGGCTCTATACAGCAGGATCTGGCGCAGATTCAAATTGGGTTCATGTCCAGTGGATTTAATATGAGGCCTTGCTGGTTTGTTTGGAGTAAACAGAATGGATGGCTGCCTTTTAATGAGTGTAGGTGTGAAAGTCCGAACTTACGATGATTAATCCCTTCTTGTTGGTTTTCATTTCTCACTAGGAAAACTTAGCCAGACTCCAGAGGGCCTTTGCAAGGAAGTGGGAATTCATCTTTATGCAAGCAGAAGCACAAGTCAAGTAGGTGAACTCAACAGAGACCACTGCAGAGGGAAACAGCTCTGGAACTTGGACTGGAGTGAGGGTGGGGTGACCACAGTGCGGATTCGGCTGGCGCTGGTGTCCACCCAGATGGGCAGGAAGTAACCTTAGTGTGCATGAACATCATCTTTGGCACCGATGTCACTCTATAATAAGGCATGTGCTCTGGCAGTTGAGGGGGATCCTCCCAAAGATGGCGCCCTACTTGTAAGGAGGGGTACTTATCTGTTCTAGAGATTTCCAGTTAGTCTTCTCACTAAATGATTGAAAACATTAGGCCCCGGTTGCCTTTAAGGCTGAATGAAGTTTTGGTCTTCGTGGAAAAATATCTGGGCGTCTTAGGGAGCCAAAATCCAAACTAACCCTGTCCTTCAGGGGCAGAGGTGTGTATGGGAGGCCTCCTCCTGCAGAGAGCTGATCTGTGAGTAAACTTAAGGCGGAGAACGCGTATCCTAGACAGGGCCCCAAGGGGCTCGCCTGCGCCTTCTCTACCTCTTCTTGCAAATACACCCGTAAGTTCACTCATTTTTTTTTTCCCCTCCAAAGTACAAGCAATAAAAGAGAGGAAAAGAAAAAGGATTTTTTTCTGCATTTTTCCTTCTAGAATAAGAAATTTCTTCCTCTCTAAGAAACATGAGGAACAAACAGTCCCCTGGCCATAGCCACGGTTACCAACCAAATTCGCCTGATTCTGGGACATGGAGTCACTCTGGTCACTGTCACCATTATTCCTCCCAGGGACTATGTCCCTTTAGCCAACGTGAATAGGAAAAGTGGGACCCAGGAAGGGTGGGAAAGGATGCTGATCTGGAAAGATACAAGCGCCTGTTCTGTGGGCATCTTGCACGGGAGTGGCCTCCGTGGGGCTTCCAGGGAGTCCTGTCTTACTCTGTAGGCGTCACTGCTTGTCCCCTAAAGCCAGGAAATGGCTCCCCTTGAATCTCCTTGGAAATGACCTGAGGTCATCCAGTGCAGGGGTGTGTGTGCTGCAGTTACTGCCACTGTCCCTGTGCAGTCTCTGCCCTTCATCTACCCCTACCAGCCACCTGCTCGTCACCCTGACCCCCAGGACTCCCCCAAGGATATGGGCTCTGGGCCCTGGTGCTGAGCTGCAGCAGGCAGCAGTGGAGGAAGTGGAGGGTGGAAGACAGGACAGCAGACAGGGAAGGCTGGGGTGTGGAGGGCCTGCAGCAGAGAGCTACCTGCATACCCGAGGCCACTGGGACCCGAGGAGAAGCACATGCTTGTGCTTCAAGTATCAAACAGCATCATGCACTGAAGAGAAAGGAAACTGTCACTTCATACATGCATTTCTCCATTCGCTTTTCCGACTAACTCTGTGATTACAATATAATTGTGGGCCTTTTAAATATACAGTAATTACCACAAAACCAGGGGGTGATTACGGGTTTAATTTAGTCCAGTAAACTGAAATGTTCCCAACAGATCTGAGAACCAGAGGTCACATGGCAATTAATCCGAGTTGCTTTTTACTAAGATAGTAAGAAGTAATACAGTCTAAAAAAAAAAAAAAAGAAAGAAAGAAAGAAAGAAAGAAAGAAAGAAAGAAAGAAAGAAAGAAAGAAAGAAAGAAAGAAAGAAAGAAAAAAAAAAGAAAGAAAGAAAGAAAGAAAGAAAGAAAGAAAGAAAGAAAGAAAGAAAAGAAACAAAGAAAGCCTCTCACCTGGGCCGCTGCTGCGAGCACCAAGGCTCTGCCGTGTCCCTGTGCCCTCCCACTTCATCTGGCCTCCCCCAGCTGAGGCCAGTGATGTTTACCTTCTTCCTCTTGCCACACGCTAAGACCATGCCTGTGCCTTGAGGAAGTCAGATGGCTTAAGTGACTTTTAAGGCTCATAATTGCAGCATTTGAAAGACAGCTCTGCCGAACGGAATGTAAAGCAGACTTTCAGATGACAAGCTGGCAAGCCCAAGCCACGCTGGTGGTTATGGCCCTTCTCACCAGTCTGTGTATGCAGCATTCCCTGGGGGAGCCCATCCGAGGGTCAACTCAGTCGTGCACAGTCCCAAGGCCCTGCTTCCCAGGGGCGTTCTCCTTCTTGCTCCCCCCATGCCCACTGTGTGCATGCCCCCATGCACACCTGTGGTGATCTGTCCCCTGATCTGAACCCAGTCCTTACCAGGTTTGTAAAGTCTGTGGCCGCCTGGAGGGAAGGGGACGCCTGAAGCAAGCAGGGGCCACAGGTGTCAGAAGTCCTACATGCAGGCTCCTAGGAGCAGGAGCAGAGCGGGGGCGAGACTGGTAGGAAGGACGCCACCCACCTCTTATTTCTTCTCTTGGCTTTTTCAGAATTGACCGAAAAAAGGACAAAACAGAAAGGAAAATTCTCGATAGTCAAGAGCGAGCCTTTTGGGATGTCCACAGGCCAGTGGTGAGCAGGCCCTCCTGCTTGGTTCTCTGGGGTGCTTTTTATTATTTTAATTTTCCATTACTCTTCAAAGAAAAGACTGTCTTTAAGGACCAGGTATTTATTTTCAAAATTGGTTTTGCCATTCATTTATAAAATCTCAGTGGATTTTCTGAAGTGTGTGTGTGTGTGTGTGTGTGTGAATTCTACCTTTTAAAAATTATTCACCCATGAAAATAGAGGAAAAGCCAGGGATATAGCTCAGCAACATCAGGAGTTTGACTGGGGGGGGGGGAGAGAGAGAGAGAGAGAGAGAGAGAGAGAGAGAGAGAGAGAGAGAGAGAAAATAGGAATGGAGAACAACAGGAATTCCACCAGAGGAACTTTTTTGGGGGCTGGTCCAGCCCACCCTGAGTGTGTGGCTGGCATGGCACGTGGTGCTGGGAATTGAACCTTGGTCCCCTGCGCCTGCCTAAGCTTGCCTAAGCAGGCACTTGGACTGCTGAGCTACCTTGCTGGCCTCCACTGAGAAGCTTGAGATGCCAGAACGTCACATCCCTGGAATGAGCACTTTGCGTTTCTACTCTAACCCACTCCGAGTCTTCAGCCGTCCTCTTCCGAGCACAGGCAGCTCTCGTACTCACAATAGCTGTATCCCGTGGTCTCTGGACATCGCTCCTCTGGGAATGGCAGGACGGGGGTCCCGGAGCCTGGAGCCTCATGTCCCTATCACTTGGACCAAGTGTAACGTCCTCTAATGTATATTTTCGCCCAAAGACACCTTTTGTATAGAAAGACACTTTATGGAGTGTATGCCGTTGATCGCTGACATTGAACTTCACACCCAGCAGCTCGTAACCCCTGCCTCCGCGAGGCTGGCCTAGGGCACGCACGTCCTCCTGGGGGCACCCACGGCCTTCTCACTAATAGCAACGCTGAGCCATACCCACCCCGGCACTCTGCCTGGGGCCGCTGGAAGCAGCACATCACCAGCACACAGGACGAAGTGCAGACAACGGGGTGCCGTCAGAGCCCTGCGTAAACTGACATCCAGTCCGAGTCCCAAAACAAGAAGGCAGGGGTCACAGGTTCAGCCTCATCTGGGCATGCTCCTGGGGCGCCCAAAATTGGCGGCAACCTAGGCACATCCGCAAATGGCCATTGAGTTCCTGCCAGTATTGATTTCAAGGTGACAAAAAAGACTGAGCGGTTGGTGGACTCACCGGTAGGAAATCTGTACATGATGAGTTTCGACTGCATTTCTAATTTCATACTATTAAAAAGAATCTTGTATTTCTCTCATCAAATGGAGCTAAAACTGAGCAGAATGGTTTGACCTTCCTAAAAACTGAAAGAAAGAAAGAAAAGAATAACTCTCCATGCTAACGTTGGAGTCTTTTCAGATGGTTAGGTATAAGAAATAGCAGAGGCCATGGCTGAAGCCATCTCGCGGGTGGACAGTAAGTTTAGAAGCTTACATAGTACTGCCGCCCATCATCTTTACAGTAAGGCCAGCTTTAACATTTCCTGTAAGAACTCCAGGCTGGGGAGATGGCTCAGTAGAATAAGCACTTCCCTGGCAAGTTCAATCCCCGGTTCTGCCAAAAAAAAGAAATCCTATAAGAACTGCAGGGAGGAGCCTCTATTACAACAAAATGAAAACATCCTGCATTATCTGGAATGAGAGCAATGAAGAACAGTTTTGGTGGTGTCACTTGAACTAAATTGGGAGAGTAATTTACACTTAGTAATTTGTGCAATTTTTTTTTTTCTCTCAGCCAGGCTGTGTGAACACAACGGAAATGGATATCAGAAAATGTCGACGTTTGAAGAATCCGCAAAAGGTTAAAAAGGTTTGCTAGTTTAGCTAACTTTCAAATTCCTGGTGTGAATAGCTGTTCCATTTCTGATACTTTTCAGATTGCAATTTGCTATTTGTAATTTTGCCGTATTGTCTTCTTCAAAATCATTTTACTCATAAATTCGAGAAATATCTATCAAGTGGCTGGGGTGTGCTGGGTGCAGTGATTGCTGACAGAGCCCACGGTGTGGCAGGGGATGAAGTCAGCCAACGGGAACAAGCCCACAGGCACCACACAGGAGGGACGGCTGAGCCAGAGGGGGCTTCCTGGGGGCTTCCTGTAGCTCAAATAAAATGACAGGTAGTGACGGTTGGCTCTAGGGAGACAGCAGTGAGAACAGGAAATGAACGGCACACAAACTGGCACGGCCCCCAGGTGACAGTTAGCTTGGTACTTAGAAACAAATGGCAGACTTTTAGTAGAGCTAGCTTGCCTTAACTTAGACCACCGTCATGCGCAACTATGAATGACCCAGTAGTCATTCTGAGCTCCTTTACTAAAAAGATGGGTGACCATGGCATGCCCACGGGTACCACACTCCACTGCCCACACCGCCACCCTCATGACCACACCAAAATCAATGCCACACTGCCTGCGAGAAGTATGTCCCCAAACATCCCTACACCCTGTAATAACTGGCAGGGGAGAGGGAGAGAGATGAAAGGAGGGAGGGAGGGAGGAGGAGAGAGAAGGGGTGAGGGGAAGGGAGAAGAAGTGGGGAGGGGAGGGAGAAAGAGGGGTAAGGGGGAGATCGGCAAAGAGGAGGAGAGGGGGAGAAGGAGACTGGGAGAGAAACTGAGTATTCTTAGGGTTGGGCCTAGAAATGTTTCAGACTTTGTATATTTTTCATATTTGGGGATATTTGCATATAAGTCAAGAAATATCTTTAAGATTGGACCAGTCTACATGGTCTAAAAGCAAAATTTGTTTGTATTTCATATATACATAGACACATTGCCCGAAAGTAATTATCATTTTTTAGCGAGCCTGTGTTTGGACTGTAATCTGTCCATGAGGCCAGGTGGGAATTTTCCATTTGTGACGTCATATTGGTGCTCAAAAGGCTTCAGAATGGGAGAACTTTAGATTTCAAGTCTTCAAGTTAGGAGTGATTTATAAACATGTACATATGCCAGACAGTGTTGGGGGGGAGAGAGAGATTCGTTTCTCGAATCTATTTATGTATTTTGTTCTTCACAGTGCAAAATGCCCCTGCACTATTCTGTAATTATTAGTCTTGAATATCCTCAGTTAATCTTTATGGACCCCTAAGTCTAATCACCCAGAATTTGATGGCACCGCATTCACCTTGAGCCCACCTTGATCGTATTGATTTCAGCTACAAGCTTCCTGTGCTGAAGGGCTTTGCTCCCTTCCCAACTCAGAGATTGTCTTTACTCTACTCCTAACACTAGGAAAGTTGAAAAAGCCATAGCTGAGTCCAGAAATCTATTTAACTTAAAAAGGAACAGCCAAAGCCCTGACAGATGGCACCAGATGGGCCTGTCACCTGCCACCAGCCTAAAATCTAAAGGGATCTTTTATTCATAATCATTAGTGCTTGAAGTCCTTGAACTTTTTTGGAGGAAGAATTACCCGGGACATTTGATAAAAATGCAAGACCCCACAGCCACCCACACTGTTTCCGACTCTGAGTTCGGGGCAGTGCTCAGCAATGTGCGCCCTCCCGAGGACCCCAGATGGCCCTGCCGATGGCCTGCGGACCCTATTTGGAGAAGCAGTGATACCCAATCTCCTCTCAGGGAAAGGAAGGGTTTCTCCTCACAGCTACAGCCTACACATGGAACGAGATGCCTCCACTGGCCTAGTTTCAATATTCATAATAGCAAAGCTCGGGGGTGGCTCCGTGTCCGTCCACAGAAGAACCGACAATGAAAACCCGGCGTTTACACCCAGTGGAGCTCTGCTGCTCCACACAGAAGGATGGGCTGGAGTCATCTGTAGGAAATCAATGTATTTTGAGGCCTCATATTAACTGAAGTAAATCAGACACACAGATTTCACCAGTATGTGGTTTCTCCTAAATAAGAAATCCAAATTAGAAAGAAAGAGCAAAATAAAAGCAGAGGATAGGACATAGGGAGGTAAGTCTTTTCCAAGCAGGAAAGGAATCAAGCGATGGGGAATATCAGACAGGCCCTGAGGGGTATAATGTGCATGTGCCAGCTCCACACGAGGAATGGAAACACGGTGCTCCAACAGTCCAAGGCCAATCACTGCTCTCCTGGGCGTCACACGTGGCATTCAAGGGATCAGCAGAGCGCCAGGCTCTGCCCTCCGAGCCGTCCCTCCACTCCGAGGCCGCAGCTCACACCCCTGCTTGTTCTTCCAGTCCGTGTATGGTGTGACCGAGGAGGCCCAGACGCAGAGCCCTGTGCACCTACCGAGCCAGCCGGTCAGGAAAACGACCAAAGAGGACATCCGGAAACAGGTGACTCCACGACCGCTCCTTCCCCGGGGGGAGACCAGCTGCTGTCAAGCCCCGTTAGCTGGCATGCGCCTCTGCAGGCTAAGCAGGCTGAGTTCACCTGGTAGGCGACTGGAACCTTGGAGTGCAGTGTGTGGGCGGCCCCTGGAAGCATGGGAGGGGGAATCCGCCACCAGCGGAGATGAAGAGGGAGGGCCGCACACCAGCTCCCCCTCCCTGCTGTGGGAGCTGGAGACCAGAGCACACTCCCGGTGGCCATTCACGCTGCACCGCGCTCCCAGGGTTCCCTCGCTGTGCACCGCCCACCCTTCTGCTGCCAAAGGAAAGCATAAGGGGTGTGGTGCTGCCGGTAACCCTCTACCAGTGCTGGGAGGCTGGGACAGCACGACCTTGATCAAGGCCAGCCTGCACTGCGTAGTGAGGCCCTTTCTCAACAAAAGAGAAGAAAGTTTAAATGAAAAGAGCCGGTCCTGACGCGCTCCGCGTTCGTGATGGCCTGGGGTCTCCTTCCATGCTGATCAGCCTGCCAGAGAGTATCGGCATGGCTGCTCCTGCTGTTCATTACCATTAGGCAGTGCCAGGGCCAGCTCTTCATGTTCTGCCTTGCTGGCCTCTGACGGGAGGCTGACAAAGGGAGAAGTTTCTAGATGCCTTCCCTGGACAAGTTTATTACCAGACTGGGGAGAGGAAACAAATATGCAAAGGCGCTGGTTGATGAGTCCGGTGGAGCACACCAGGTGTTTGGAATATACCTGTGAAAGGTGGGCGGAGGAACGGCTCTGGGGATTTTGTCAAAATGTCCAACTGTCCATGCGTTTGCTAAGCTTTGTAGAGTACAGGCTCCATTTAAGTTTGGGGAATGACTTTTGGGAAGCAAGACTTAAGTTATAGAAAAGTACAGGCAAATATAACAGACAACATTGGGGTCGGATCTAGCTCAGTGGCACAGCACCTGCCTGGCAAATGCAAGGTCCCGAGTTCAAGTCCTGGTACAAAAACCCCAGGTAACATGGGCTATACTGTAAAGTATGCATCGGAAGTGCAGTAGGAATTTCTAAAGGGGCAAAGTGGTTGCTCAAGGTATAAATCTTAAGGGTGAGAGAAATCCTGCCACAGGCAGTTCTGGGGTTTTGGTGGGAATGTAGGGTTTGAGATCATAAGCTGAAGCAGAAAGCTATTCTATTCTCAACACCCTTCTTCTCTGTTTCTCCAGATAACATTTTTGAATGCACAGATTGACAGACACTGTTTGAAAATGTCCAAAGTGGCTGAAAGGTATGTTTTCCCCTTGATAGTATTATTATTTTCTTCTTTTACAAGGGAAAAGGAATGCTACCGGGTTAAAGGAATGCTACAAGTGTGTTCAACTTTGAGAGGTGCATTGCTGCCCATTAACTGATGCATAGGAAAACCCGCAGTTCTGTGTGTGTAGCTAAGATAACAGGCCTCCCTTGAGTGATGTCAAGAAATGTCTGGCTGCTGAAGCTTCCCGGGGTGGCCACGGCACCCTGTCAGTCAGAGAAGAACATCCTTAAAAGCTCCATCGTGCACCTTTGCTCCAGCCCCTCGATTAATTCAAATGGAATCACTCCCTCTTCAGCTATAAAACACCCAGGTTCACTTTATGGAGAAAAGGAATTGTGTGTCCCCTCTGGGGCACCGGCCACAGAAACAGGAGGGGCTGGGTCCTCAGGAGGGGTTCTGCCTCCGCACACCATTAACTGCATCGACATAAGCTGTAAAGAAAACATTTGGCCCCTCCAGCCTGGCTTCCAGGAGTACCTGGGCTGCCATCTGCACCAGGAGCGGGTTCCACTCCGTTAACTCGCAGAGATTCAATTTTATCAACTAAATGTTCTGGTTTTGAATTCTTTGGTGAAGACAGGAGACCACCTGGGGAATGTGAAAGGAATAAATCTAATCAGGCAGCCCAGAGCCGAACATTTGTTCGTCCATATGTTGCTGTTAAAGCAACGACCGATTTCTGGGCTCAAGTTGGGTCTTAAGATTTATTCACCATCAGATAAACTGAGGCCTTTAAGGCCACCTGGAGCAGGCGGCTGGCTGCCTATGTGATCCCCTTGGAAGCCTTTCTCTGCTGGTACCTGGCTTGATCCACATCTTATGTTTATAAATAATGATAAATAATGACAAATAGAAGCTAAGAAAGTCCAGCCCTGCATCAAAGGCCTGAATTAACACTGTGCCTTCAGGGACCCCAAGGACCTCCGTAGATTTGGGCTCCAGTCTCAGGGGGCAGCTAGTATCTTTTCCAGGGTTCTTGACAGTGCACTTGCTATTCTGGGCCAGGTAACCGCTGCTTATGTTGCTAATGCCTGATGCATGTAGTATATTTAATAGTGTCTCTTATGTTTACTCAGTAGAGGCCAGGAGGCCCCCAACTCACCACTGTGATAAACAAACATTTCTTTAGACTGCCAAATGTCCTGGGCCAGAGTTGGGAGGGAAAGCGCTTTGTGTGGCACGGTCATTTTGCTACTCATGGCACCTCCTTGAACCCGCGAATGACGCTGAGAGCTCAGGCACCACTATATTCCTGTTCTCTGCAATGCAGAGCTTGCCACTGGCTGGATTCCTTATGCTAGGATAGCACCTGCTTGGGAATGGGAAGTACAGCTACCCCCAAGAGGCCGAGCCCCCCACACCTTCCTGATCACCTGCTGGGCTCTGGCCATTGCA